CCATCGTACCAGGCCAGTACGCCATCTCACCAGGCCAGTACGTCATCGTACCAGGCCAGTACGTCATCGTATCAACCCAGTACATCATCGTACAAACCCAGTACATCCAGTACGTCATTGTACAAACCCAGTACGTCATCGTATCAACCCAGCACATTGGCATATCAGTCTAGCACGTCGTCGTACAACTCTAGCACATCACCCAGTACTTTGTCCAGATCCACTACGTCCTCTTCCCAGTACCAAACCAGGTCAAATCCACAACTCACCAAATCGTCTAATTCAAGTTTGCCAAACAAACCAAAAAAAAATTCTGACTCGTGCGTCATAGTTTAACGAGAACCATGAACTGTAGAAGGGTCAGAACTGCCGACTTCACCGAAGCGCCTTCCAAAATGAAACACGAGTAACGAAAGTTTGTTTTAAAGACACTTTTCGTGCAGGTTCCAGTTTTCTTGCTCTGACAAAAAGGACCAGTAAGCTACAAGCTGACCACGTTGTATCGACTTGGAGATCATTTGCACAGACCGTGTAGATTTCCTGTCGGTGGTTTTGGGTAACTTGTTGGTTTTAAACCAAAGTGATCCTGAACCAGTGACGGTGAATTGTTCTGGCCACAAACAGTGGACTTCCTCTGGGGGGGGGGCAATGGAGACAAAAATTTCTAGAAACTGTTGATGGGAATTTAAACTGGGGGATTTTTTTTAAATATTCCAAATTGATATCTTTAATGGAATTATGAGAATAGACTGGAAATTTGGGGGTAATTTAAAGAACATGTCCAACCAAAAAGGTTTATAGGATGATAATGTGCCAGATATCACTGATGACATCACCGTCCCCACACAACCTGTAGAGAATTACGTTCATGAGCACAACTCTGAACCAAACTCACACATTTGGTCATTACTTTGGCGCTTTCTGTCCTGTTGGCTACACACCACAATTTGCAGTAAACTGCATTTAACAAACTAAAAAAAATGAACACAACATTTCTCTTGTAACCATTTCCATCAGTCTCTTTATGTTCAGGTGACTTTGTGCATCAGTTTTGAGGGTGTGGTACCCCTCATTTTATGGTACAGCAATGAATTATGGTTGTTTTAGTCTAAATTGTGCTAAAATCCATTTTCCCCAACTGTATTTACAATCCCTACTGAGAACTAACTTTCCGTTTGTATTTCTGTTCATTCCCGTGATACGTTTCCAACTTTGGAATTTCATGGGACGTATGCAACCCAACTCCTACAGCTGTCTGAATGAGGATTCCCCGTCCTCAAAAAGACTAATGCCTAAAGGCATCTGCAGGAGTATTTTGTCAGTCGTTGGACTGTCCACGGTGAAGGAAACATTCCAGACAATCGCTCAAACCAAAGGTCCGACCCATCTTGGATGGGATTGAAAACCTAGTTGAAATGAACACGTATTTCACTCCTGACTTTTTACCAAACATCTTGGGTTTAGGACACTTTATTTAAGATGATACTTGGGTTTTACTTTGAAACCCTTAAAATCGATAGATAAAACTGCACCTGTTGGTGTTTTTACGGAATCGTTACGAAGTAAAGCCTCTGTTGGCATACGTTGTACCCGAGTGTTCTGCATCGCTGAAGTACTCCACTGTCCACCCACGGCGGTGGATCGCAGCTCATCAGATTTAACTTTTACCACCGTTGTCTCTCGACTCCGTAACGCCGGCGTGCATTTAAAGCATGCAACGGTAAACGAGCGAAGGCTGCAGCGGCAACATTTCGAAAGAGTCGTTTACAAATAAGACTCAAAATGGTTTGTCAGATCAGACGAGTCGGGAATTATTTTCCTGAGTTGCGCGAAGTGCGTCTCAGACGATCCGTTGGAACACAACCATCCTAGCTCGCCGTTTCTCACGACGCTTGTGACGTCATCGGGAAAGAGTTGGGACAAAAAGCGAATCACACAACCAACAACGCCGTGAGAAGCGTGAATCACACTGGTTGTACGTTTAGAAAAACTTGCGAAGTAAGAAAATACAGAAAGCCTTGACTAGACTGCTACGCAGGGGCTGATTTTACGAGTGCCGTCTGGTGCACTCAGTTTGAGCTCCTACTGCTTAACTTTATATCAAACTACGTAAACGGACAACAAGATCCGTAGAAATGAAGAGAAGAGGTTAAACTTTGTGGCCTTTTCTTCTACCGTTCACCAGAGGGCGACAATTAAAAAACCTATACATTTACTTTTTGGAATGAGTTTCGGTGGTAATTGATGTTTTTGTTTTACCAAGTTTAAGATGAAAGGACACTAATCGTCAAAATGTAGTTTTCTTTACTTTTATTTTGGCTTCAACACTATAATCATTGTTCATGTTCAGATTTACACACAAAAACATTTTTTGTCCGGTTGGACTTCACCGTTTTTTTTCTCAACGTCAGAGTCGCGATGTAAAACCAGGGCGCTAATCTTAAAACGAGTATTTTAATTAAAAAGACAAACGTGTTACTCTTTCACTGTTCACTGACCTGTCCCATCAAGACACATTTGCACAAAAATTAAAATCTGTTTTTCTTTTTTTAAAAACCTGAACAACTTAAGATCTTTTTCCGTTTTGTTTGCTTATTTCAATCAAAGCTTTGGTTTGTTTCGTTTGAACCGGATCAGTTTTTGCTGCTTTAAAGGTACATTTTACGGTTTGATGAAATGTTCTGTCCAACTGGACCAGAAGTGCTGGTTAGTTTTATGACAAACGTCTTAAATGTCAAAACAGATCCACAACCAGGAGTCCAGTTTGGTAAAGAACCCGTTTTTATGAATCAGATTCTAGTTTGTTGATTTTTATCTAGTTTTGAGTACAGGAACTGGATCTTTTATTTATTTTTTTCCAAACCTGAAGCCACAGATTTGATTTTTTTTTTCTGTTTTGTGTCGTTACTAAATAAAGTTGCTTTAAGATCAAATATTGAGTTTGAGTCTTGATTCCTAACCTCTTTTGAACCTCAGCAAGAACTCTTCCAGGCGTTTCAGCATCAGTCTCTTGTGGTTGTGGAGGAATCTTGGCCCACTCTTCTTTCCATTGTTGGTTTCTGCTTTTCTCTGACGGTCAGTTTGAGGTTCTGGACTTTGACTGGAACATTGTAGCACATTGGTTCTTTTCTTTTTGCCCCGTTCTGTCATAGATCATCTGCTGCGTTTGGGATCATTGTCCTGTTGGACCCAGTTTGGTCCAAGTTTCAGATGGACTCACATTTGACTCTAGAACCCTTCATGGTCCAATCAATGGCTTCAAAGAGCACCAACCATCACCTTTGTAGAATTGCGCCGCTCAAGGTGGCTGCATGTTGGAGCAGCTCTGTTCCTTTCATTCTGAGATTTTGCTTTTGGAAACTTTAATTCATCTTTTTCTGGATGTAAATCACATTTTTTGGATGATTGTTTCCTCTGGTATCAGATGCTGTGCAGCTGGAATGATTTTTACTGAAACTTTTTTAGTTTTGGACATTTGTTATGATGTGTAACCATGGCAACAAGGCAGTTTTCTACAACCAACAGCAGCTGATTAACATCTCAAAAGCTCAAATAATATCTCAACTACAGCCCCAAATCTCTAATGAGTATAAAAGGATGTTCTGTGGATGCATTCTCATCTACCTGCTAGCTGTGCTCGAGTACCTGACCACTGAGATCCTGAAACTAGCAGGAAACACGGCTCATGATAGTGGAAGGACAGGATCGTTCCTCGGCACCTACAGTTGGCTGTCCGCAGCGACGAGGAGCTCGGCAGACTGCTGGGAGGAGTGGCCACCGCTCTGGGAGGAGTTCTGTCCGGCATTCGGGCGGTCCTACAGCCCGTGGGAACCGAGAGGCCAGCCGAGTCTGGGTGGACAGATCTGCAGCCAGTTTCTTAGGATCCACTGTGGGATGGACCTTTAAGAGATCCTTCCTGTCTACAGCCATCAGTATCTATAACATCTCTTAATGAAATGAGGATACCACGAGTTACAACAACAAATAATTTCCCTTTGGGATTAATAAAAGTAGTTTTGAATTTAATTTTCATCGTATGTCACTTGTGGTTTTCTTCAATCGTACCGTTCATTCTGGGTAAACGTCTCTACTTTGGTCTAGTGTCCCAGAAGTCTTGAAACCTTTCAAACCCAAGTCCGGATGCCTTAAATCAATGTCCTGATGTGTAAACACCCCGACCTGAAGGACAGACTTACCCCCACAGTTGTTGTCATGGAGGGCTGACATGATTACTGAAGGCACTTCTTCCCTTCTGCCTCGTTCACGTGAACAAAAAACAAACGGCTCTTAATGTGCATTAGATTACATTTCCCAGGGGGGAGATGGATTTGTCTGTCGTGTCTTCATTACGCCTCCGCTCAGTGAGATGGAGCTTTCTTACAGTAAATGCAGCCGTGCCCTACAGGTCGCAACAGCCCACCCAGTGGCAGTAAATATTCTCTGACATTAAGCAGCCTAAGGAGCTACTTCCTGTCTGCCATGCCTTGCCCTCGCTCTCTTTCCCCAGTGGACTGAGCAGAGTCCTTCAGAGCTGGCTGCCAGGAGCTCCCCGGCCATTTTCTGCATTACCCAAGCTCATGAATTAAACACGAGTCGTTTGCCTTTGTTTCTGCTGAGTCACTGGGTTTTGCTGATGTCCTGATGATCGGATAAATATTAACGTAGTGTGGTCGCTTTCTGTTTTGTTAAGTCAAGTCTCCGTTCCCTGGTTAGTCACTCTCCAACCAAGGGTAAGATTGCAGTATACAAGACCTGACCCTGACCGAAGGTCTTCCAAGTTTGGGGAGTGGTGGTGCAGATGTTAGAGAAAGTGAGCTGGTGATCGGAAGGTTGCCAGTTAAAATCCCCAGACTAACAACAAAATGGAAATGTGGAGCACCCACACCTGCCACAGCACTCTTTTGACCCACTGAGCCCTTGAGCAAGGCTGTTAACCCCTTAGCTGCTCCTGGGGCAAGATGGCAACCCTCTGCACCACATGTGCGATGGGAAAAATGCAGTGGATCAGTCTCCCCATTAGGGATTAATAGTGAATAATTTTGTTGTTTTACTCCACAAGCTTCTAACCTCTGGATTTTTTGGTCCGTTCTTCATAACCAAACCGCTGCAGCTCCTTCAGATTAATGTTTTGTGTCCAACAATCTTTAAATCAAACCAGAGAGACTCAGTACCTTCTAGACGTTTCCCTTTGGAGGTTTTCCAGGCAAGCCCCACTGGAAAGAGCCTCTAGGGAAGACCCAGAACTCTCTGGAGGGAATCTACTATGTACTCTGTTCTGGATACACCCCAGGATCCCCCAGGTCTGGCTTTCTCTCCTGGATCTGTTGCCTCCACAAACCAGAGGATAAATGGTAGAAGGAGATTCTCAGCTGGACTGAGACCATTCCAGGACCTTTAATACAGCACATCTTAAACCAGGAGAGTGTTACATCAGCAGTAAGACTAGTTGTCCTGCTGGAAGTGGACCTTCACCCATTCTCAAGTCTCTAGAACGTGTTTACCTCAAAGATTTTGATGCGTCCATCTTTCCTTCAACTCACGCCCAATCAATCATGGTCCTGGTTCCATCATGGTTTCATCCTGCTGATAAATATCATCCCCACATCATGATGCAGCCACCACCATGCATGACTGTGGATATGGTGTTTTTGATTTGATGAAAGGTGTTTTAGTCTCACCATTTAGCTGATGTTTTACTTATTTTACTACTTTTTTTGCTTATTTAATATTTTAGCTACAGTTTAAACA